GTAAAATTGTCCAGACCTCGAATTCGACTGAAGCTATTCTGTTCCTAAGAACAAATATATGAACTCAGGCATATTCATTGCAGTGATTCCACTGATCCCACTAATTTTCTTAAATTGTTAAAAGAATTTATTTCCATTTTATAAGCATTATTATGAATTTATTGTGGAAGAGTATGTAGTATAGCACTATAATTCTTGGACGAGTAGTCTCTTTCTTTACCATTTGAAATTTTGAATTATATCAAATTTGTTTCTGAAAACTGCACAGAGGCTCTCAGCCACAAAACAATTAGCTACAACTCCGTTTTTAAGAGATTACGCAACTTAATTTAATAACTTAATCATGTAAGGTTTATCCATTTTCCTTAATAAGGTATTCATTTCTTTTTAATGTACATAAATATATAACTTACTTTAAAAAAGGAATTGTAGGATCATCATTTAGATCCACATCAGATTATGAGCTTAAACAAAATTCATAGTTGAGATCTAACTTTTAGATATACATGTAAATGGTGTTTTCTTGGTTAATATCTTGAATTCTTAATAAATTTATTTTTCTTTAGATTGAAACTTTGGAAAGTCGTTTCATCATCTTTTGTAGTTCTTAAATATCGTCCAGATTCTATTAATAAAGCTGTAGCAGTATAGCCACGGTAAGTTTTTTACTTTTACCTATGCAGGTTACAAACATAACAAATTGCCAATTAGATGGTAGAAATAGTTGTTAAATAGTTAAGGAGTCGGAGTCGGAGTCGAAGCAGCAACTGTCTTCATTTTTCCAACTACATATAAGTTAGCTACCCATCCACACCTGGGAAGAGTGGTGGATGCATCCACACATAAACCATCAACAAGGGCAGCACCCTATTTTTTCTTCCTTTTTTGAAGGTTAAGTTTAGCTATGTTCACTTGATGTTGAAGTCAATCTTATCATTCCTCCTAATTCCATAAAAAAGATCATCCATAGACAGACAGGAGAACAAGATGACAGAAAGATACTGTCACCAATAAATATCCAAATTTTCTATTCAGGGAAATACAAAAGGAAAGGTACCATGGTATAAGTACATAGAATTAATGTTACTAAAATTCCTAGTTGTTTGAAGAAGATGGAAGTGGATATAGGAGATTACTAAAACCCAAATGAGCAGACAGACCATAGAAAACGAGTGCTTAAGAAAAGGCTGGTATTGTGCACACATGTACTGGTAGAGTGAGTGAAACATCTGGAGGAAATTCTGTAAAGACCATCCTGCCAAAATTTTATAACTAAATACAGTATTACGTAAAGAAAATAAAAATATTTAAATATACTGTTGGTACATTAACAAATATCTGCAAATTTAGAAGACTGTATTGTCTAATAATAAGTTCTGAAAAGAATAAATTTATATCTTACCAATAAAAACTGGGCCTGGATCATCAGGAGCTGTGACATCTACTGCTCGAACAACTTTACCATTGGGGAGAGTAACATCTTGACCTCTTTTTAATTCTCCCAGGAGTGGACCTGCAGGTACACCTGCCTTTACACACTTCTCCAGTCTTAGTGCACCAGCCTGTAAGATTACAAAGACTTACACACTTTCCCCCCAAAAGAACCTCAGAGCGACTTATTCCTAATTTTTTATGAACTAGAGTATCTTCTATATAAACTATTGTGGATTCCCTCAGTCACTCATCTCTATATCCTTTTATTCCTTATTCCCTTGTCATTGTGTCTATATCTCTGGTCACCACTATTGGCATGAAGCCTGGCTACATGTGAGGGAAGGACGCCAGGCACTGGGCTAGGCCTCCTCATCACCCCTACACTCCCCATTCCTCCTTAGTCCTCATGCCTCCCTCCTGCCTGCCACACTTCTCCCACCCACACTCCACTCCTTCTGTTTAATATATAATAATAAAACAAGTGATTCAAACACACATTAATTTCACTGGGAATGTAGGAGAATGTAGAGGATACAGACTGCAATCATTACATGACGAGTTCACACGAGAGAAAATTTTAACTTGACCAATACACATGTGTCATCTGTACATAGAAGGAAGAAGGGTACAGAGGCTGCCTGCCACCACTTAACCCAAATCATCCCACTCTCACATAAATTTCTTGGGTCTCACTGAAGTCACTATCCCAAGAACAATGTATTTACTAAATTAACTACCCCCTGGTAAATTGACTTATATGTTACCCTGTACAGTATTTCATTGGTATCTTAACATTCCCCCAAAACTTTAATGACATTTGCAGTCATTGGTCACAGTCACCATGGACTCCTATAAAATCAAATTAATCAATAGGTATTCATCATGTATTAGGTCAGGGCAATTGAACCATGCCTTTAATATATGATGACACAAGTTATGGCTGGCATCTTGAGGAGAGAAGCAGATTAAAGGTAAATGGAATGAAGTGGATGTTAGTGATTCTGTTAAATGCAGATAATACAGTTCTCCATGGACAGTCAATTTCAGGATTGCAGACTTTGGTAACTTGGAGAAGTAAGCAAGATTAGAAAATAAAATGGAATACAAACTACAAATATTGGCAAGATGATGTGAAAAAAGGAGTTACAATAGTATACAAAATATCAAAAGGACTGCTGAAGAGAAGACACTGTTTGTACACATACCTTGGGTGGGGGTCTGCATATATAAGCCACAGCCAAATTCCTACACTTTGTGCTCTCTTCTTGTCTTTGCCGCTTTACTGCTGGATTCATATAGTAATCATTACCTCGGTTGGGTCTCTTCATCCCAGATTTCTCGTTAGAAAATAGGTCCTCGACTGTTGAAAATTGTTAAGAACCGTTTACTTATAGTGGATATTTACAGCAGGTTTATGAAGCTATTCCACTCTAATCAAATCAGGCATATCTGTGTTACTTACATAAGAAGAGTAATATTTAGGTAGCAGTAGTGAATTACATTTACTGAAATATATATTAATATTGTATATCCTTAATTTTCAAACTACCCAGGCTCAGTTCAGAAATCAAACTAAGTCAGCAGGTTGTAGAAAGGCAAAAATAGAGTTCCAGAAATAGATCACAACCAAGGCCCAGGTGAATTCACAAACTTTCACAAAATAAAAATAAAAAAACATATGTAATTGTATGAAAACTGAGAGCAGAAGATGAGAGCTATGTGGACTTAGCCCAAGACAAAATGGAGGGATTAAATTAATTATGGCATCACTGTTTACAAGAGAGGATGAATATAACCAACTTTTTGAGGGATGACAAGTCGGTACAACACTGAGGTATGGACGGTCCACAACTAAATTATATAAACTCAAAGTTCACACAATACTGTAGTGTGAATTCCAGAATGTCAGAGAGCTATGTAAGAGGCTCTCACAACACCTTAGTATCTTGTTCTGAAAAGGTATGAATGAACAAAAAACTCTAAGCACTGGTAATAAGGTAGTCAGTTCTTGCAATGACAATACAGTATATACTGTACAGTACCTTGACTTTGACAAGACATTTGACAGTATAACTTACGTAAGTAATAAAATTAAATTGGAAGAATATGAAATACTAGTGAATGTCCCAGCATGGACTGGAGACAAGGCATGGTGATTAATGACAAAATCATAATGTGCATATAACAAACATTGTACTGTTCGTTTGTTACATGGATGACATACCAGATACAATTTATTCTTGATTACAAATGTTTCAGATAATAAGTTTTGGGGGAAATTAAAAATCTAAATGGACTGTGAAGCATTACAGGAAAATCTCTATCAGCTTCAAATATTGTCAAAAGAATGACTGTGAAGCAGAATGTAGTTCATATTTTTTATACAACATTTAGATTATTTCTTGTGAGCAACAAAAATACATAGCGTACCTTCCTCTGGAGCTCCTTCAGCAGCATCCACCTCCTCAGAATTATTAGCACCTTCAGAGTCTTCTGGTTTTGCCCAAAGAGGAACACTCTGGATGATGAGTGGGTCATTCCCTTCCCCAAAGATGCCATTTCTGTCTTCATAATGTTTATACACAATGTTGAGATCTCTAAATCGCATGAAGTGCCGGGTGTCGTAATAGAGGGAGTCCTAAGGAAATTGAATACATTAAAGTATCTTCCTATAAGCCAATAGCTTAGTAGGTTTTCTGTTTTGTTTTTTAAACCAATTCCATAACAAAAATTAAATTAGTAACAGTTGATATAATACAGTACTCACAATTCCTGGAGGACCATGAAGGCATATCTCTGGTACTCCTGTGTCCTGTAGGGTTAGTAGAACACCAGGCAGGCCACCAACATTCTCCCAAGACTTATGAGTGATCAAGATATGCTCCATCATACCCAATTTTACTTTGTGCTCATAGGCCAGCCTCTGTGAACCTTCACCACAATTGAATAGGTACCTATAAAGAAAACAAAAGAAAATTTACTTAATCTAAAAATTTGTCTCTTCACACCTTTAATAATCAGCTCTCCCCAGTCATTCCCAAAGACTTTCCAGAAATATTTCAGCCAAATTTGGGAACAAAATACAAGTATGGAACCATTTATCTAGTGTCCCAGTATCTGGAATGCTCCAAAAACAAGCTATGATCTGGAACAAACTACTGTATTCAAAATGAGCACCAAGTAGTTTCTGAACCAAGCAGGGAAATTATCAAATTTTTCCCACAATTGAACTATATTATATTATTATTTTTCCAATTTATAATTTTGGGTAGATAATTATGTGTATACAGTTACACACAAACACAATCATTACAGAAAACATAGAAAAAAATATCACAAGATATAAATTTTTATGAGAGGGTAGAGGCAGCGTCCCAGCTGGGCTGTATTGCTAAGATGAGCATTGAGACCAGGCAGGCAGCATCTCAGAGACTACAACTAATTTTTGCTCTTTTTTATGCTTTCATTATTGCTGTTTATGTTTTTGTTATTGTTGTTTATATGCCTACAATTTTAAGTTTTATGTTACAGTGTACAGTTAAAGATAATTTTAGAGGTCAATTTAGTAATCTGACCTATACCTTGTGTTTTTGGTATTTGGGGTCATACCATAGGTTTTGTTAAAATTTCATATAAAGGCACTACTTTACACGTTGATTACAGATTAGTGTTAATTAATGACCTTTGAAAAAATTAAAGCTATTTAGAATATTTAAAAGGTCAATTACACGGTGCCCGTCAGTTTGAAATCAACTTTATACAGTATACATTTTCTTGAAGATATAAACTATATTATAACAACACATTAGTTTTCACTTTCCCCCAAAATGTTGTTTGATGTCAAATATGTGATAACTAATTCAGTATGTCCTGAAGAACACAAAAACACTCCCCTTCCTACTCCACATATCAAGAAGCGCTCAACACACTGACCCTTTCGACTCTCACTGACCATCACCACGACCTCATCTGCAAATTTGGTAAGAAGCTTCTACACCATCCTCGACACCGGCTCCTACTACCACCTGAGATCCCTAGTCCGAGAATTGCTGTTCGACACCACAACCGCATCCAGCCCATACATGCACGAACTGATCGCTATAAGAACAGCCCAGTCCCAACCATTGTAAAAATTATCAATAACTTGTAATAAACCAGTGTATTCACTCCCAGTAAACACTACTCCTTGCACTGTCACTATGTTGAAATGAACTGTAGTTTGAGCTTTTCCCCATCTAGTTATTATATATCTTATTTGTGTCACTTATGTTACTTGTATATTATTTGTAATTCGAAACCCATTCCCCAAATATGTAACTGTATATTTTCAGCCTTCTGGCTGCCAAGCTCTTTCAATAAACCGTTAATTATTATTATTATTATTATTAGTTAGCAATTACAGTAATTAGTTGAGAAAAAAAGTGACTAAAATATTCCAAGCATACCTACGAACACTAATTTCCTCAGTCGAATTGTCGACCATTGATTCGGAATCAGCGTGCTCAGGAGCACCTTCACTGAGATTTTGAACAAAATCCCTGAGTTCGCAATTTTTTCGGCCATGAAAATACCCGTAACGTATTTTCAGATTAGAGAGAGAAGTTCAAGTATCATAGCATAACTACCTGTACTGTATATCTTTTTCAAACAATCCTCAAAACTAACAAAGAGACAGTTACATCAGCCATTGTTCAAGACTTACAATTAACATTAAATACTGTACACCCGTTAATACTCTACCTGGCCTGTTCTGTGAAGACATACAAAGACCTCGGACTACCTGGAGCTCCAGACCCAAGCACTTGTAGATACACAGTTGAAGGCGGATATTTCCGCACCTTCTGTCTACGTGCGAGACGGATCTCCTGTAGTCCTTTAACATCTACCTGTTAATAAAAACCATGTTAAAATATGCTTTATAATTAACAGGCTGATTCACAAAGTTTATAAAAATTTTAATTTCCCCAAAAATATAAAATAAATAATTTGTCTCATGATCATATTAACAAACAAAAGTTTGATTTCGTTCATGTTTTCCACAAATGTTCTCATCATTATACAGTAATAAGCATTTTAAAAGAGATGACAACTTTTAATTTTAATTACGTATAAGTTTCTTTCTTAGTTTTTTTTTTACCCACTCAGTCCGAGCGTACTCTCCCTCCCACAAAAAAATAAAAATAAATTTACACCATGACGCTTAAACAGTTGTTTCATTGCTACCAAATATAAAAATAAGTATTTTCGGTTAATATTTGTTTCATGGCTGCTGCAAGATTTTTGTATTTGGTTATTCTAGGATTATTAAAATAAAGTTAAGTTATGTATGGCTGGGTTGGGTTGGATTTCAACAGCGAGTTGGAAGTTGAAATTGTTGAGAATAGGTTTTGTGATGTATTTAGATCCATTTTATTCATAACAAAAAGGATATAGGTTTCTTTGGTTGGTTATGTAAGTGTCTTGGTATATTTGCATTTTCAGCCCCAACTACTGTTCGACCAAAAATTTATATTTTTCCATGGTATTTGGTGTGATTCATACGAATTTGACCTTCATTTCTGTTGCAAAGGAGTGGTTATTGAGTTATCACCTCCGCCCCCCCCCCCCAATGAAATTTATCTAAACAAGTTGGGGCTGAAACTGCAATAATATCAAGTTCTTTGGTTGGTTAGGTCAAGTTCTATTAGGTTCTAGTAAATGTCGTCTCTTTTTAAATACTATAGTTTTATTTTACTTTCGGACATAGCGCGCCCCAAAGTTATAAACTACTGAAACATTTAGATCTCCCTATTCTGAGCATTTTGAAACCCATTTAGACAATTGGGAAATGAAAAATAGCGACAATTGAATTTAATTGATTTTACGTACTTTTCAGTCTTCGTCTCTGTGAAGAGATGTCATCTGCTTGAAACCGAGTTAATAATGAGTGTGTTTACATCACGCATGCACAATGTTGAGTCATGACCTGTCTGACAATGGCCGTGGTCAAGGTTGGGTGCTCCTACAATTATTTTAAGTTTATTGCCGAGTTATACGAGAAAGATGATCATGCTATCCAATACCTACGTAATCACAGTGTTCACCCTACGTCTGTTGAGTGCCCGAACATGGCGCGCCCCAAAAGTTTTAAACTACTGAAACATTTAGATCTTATTCTGAGTGTTTTGAACCCCATTTACACTAGTCGGAAATGAATATTACTGACCGGGGGGGTCCGGGGGGCTACATTTGGATAGGATAGGTTAGTTTAAGCTAGGCCTACCGGGGGTCTGGCGACAGAGCCCCCGGCTAGGGATTGGGTAAGGTTACGTTATGCTAAGTTGTTAGGTTAGAGGACTCGTTTTTGTTTTCTCCTCCACCCAAAAACTCCGATTTCCGAGGCTCTCCCCCATTATTGTTGGGGGGTTGGGGTGAGGCAAAAATGATCAATTTCCGCCATAAATGAAGGTCAGATTCGCTTAAAACACACCAATATACAGTTAATTTTTACTATAGGCCATGAGTCGCTAGGGGTTGACCATTTTGTTTTTCCAGGGTATTTTGGTGTGTTTTAAACGAATCTGACCTTCATTTATGGCGGAAATTGATCATTTTTGCCTCACCCCAACCCCCCAACAATAATGGGAGAGAGCCTCGGAAATCGGAGTTTTTGGGCGGGGGAGAAAACGAATCATCTAACCAAACAAAACCTAACCTAACCCCAAGCCGGGTGCTCTGCCCCTGGACCCCCGGTAGGCCTAGCTTAAACTAACCTAAAAGTTTCAGTAGTTAAAAACTTTGGGGCTTGCCATGTCCAAAAGTACAATACCTTAGTTAGAAGTGGAAGGACCGGGGAATATGTAAGAACTGGATAGAATGATCATCTTTCTCGTAAAACTCAGCAATAAATTTAAAATAATTGTAGGAGCCCGAATGACAACCAACCTCCACCACGACCATTGAGACTGGTCAATGAAATTACCCAGGCTGCTTCCTTTGAAAAAAATTAAATGTGATTGGTTGAAAAAAATTTGCGAGATATCGATACATCATTGGTTACGACTGGATGACGTCAGTCAATACTGTATTGCACATGCATGATGCGCCAATAACACCACCTCGCAAAGACTGAAAACTACGGAAAATCAATTAAATTCAACTGTGTCGCTATTGTCCATTACCGCCAGAGTTCAAAATGATCAGAAAAGCGAGATCTAAATGTCTCGGTAGTTTATAACTTTTGATTGCGCTATGTCCTAAAGTAAAATAATACCAAAAATACACTGGAAAAATATGTTGGTCAACCACTTGGGACTCATGTCCTTAAGTAAAACTTTACCTTAAATACTTATTATAATGATAAGAACATACAGTATTGTGAAAAAATTAAACAAACCCATAAACTTGTCCTGGTGGTAACGGTGTACTAATGCCCCATGTACCCCGTTACATTTTATCTACTTGCATCTGCACTAATAAAATATATTCTTCTGCAAACAGTTGGAAATAATTACCTTTTTCGGCATAGTCTTCAAAATATTGTATATCTTGTTTTTGGACTTATAATAACTATGGTGGCGTGTGACAACCCTACAGCGGCTGGTCACCCCAACATGAGGTGTGAGGTGCTGCTGCCAGACACTCGCTCCTGGTACACCGTTATTGTAGATACTGACACTCCTAATACCAGCCCTAGTTATGACATTGGCATAGTCCAGTGTCAGTGTAGCAATATGAGGCAACAGCCGTGAGTATGATGCAATATTTCTCAACATTGATACATCATACACCCACGAGTCATGGGCACAGTGCGGCCAGTGTTGCCAACTCGGGTTTTCAAATGTCGCTAGGCTGGTACCTAAAAGTAGCTAAATGTCGCTAAATCTTCCATTGAAAGTCGCTAGCTATTATTCCTAAGTTTCTTGAATGGTAAAATTGTCTGTCTTTCTGCACTAAACGGCTCTTCTGCTTTCTTGTGTTTTTTTTTGTGTTTTTGTGTTTTTCAATGTCGTACAACTTAGCAGACAAAGTACACTTGCAAAATTTACAAAATCCTTTTTTATTATCTCCTGGCACCTCCAGAAGCCAATTTTTGTATCTGTCATCTCTGAGCCATTCCTTCCTAAATCGCTGCAAATACTGTGGCTTACCCATTTTCTATTGGGACTATGAAGGGTTCAAATTAATAAACAGCATGCAAACAAGCGGAAACTTTCCTTGATGGTTTTTGGCACAGCGGGTGAACAGTGGCGGGGCAACTGTATGGAGTCTATGGGTCACCCATGGTGGACGCGCCAGAGAAGTTTGGAACCACGCAGGCTTGATAGAATTAATTCTATAAGATGTTTTGCTAATATTCTTTAAAATTTAGCGTATTAATGAAATTCATATTGCATATCTGACAAAAAGGTAAGTTACCCAGGTGCTACAAAGGCGAAGGTAATAGAAAAATAAATGACAACACGGCAACATTAGCCATGGACGGGCTGACATCAAGTGATCAGGAAATAGACGTGTCCCTCCTCCTGTACCACGACCCCTTCAAATGTATTCAACTTTTCTTATTATTTATTGTCCCTGTAACCCCGTTGCTATATATTATGGCTCGAAATTAGGAAAACTGAGTTTTCATGGACAGTCCAAAAGTATCCAGAAAGTCGCTAGATTTCTGTGGATATCTTTAGATTTGCGACAAGTCACAATCGCTCTAAAACGTCGCTAGAACAAAACTTAAAGCTCTAGATCTAGCTACAAAGTCGCTAAGTTGGCAACTCTGATATGCGGCTTTTAAAGTTCCGGAATTAACTACAGGTTACGTTATCAAGATACCTCCAATATTCTAAATTCAGTCTTATAAAAGAGAACGTTCAAGGTTAAAATAAATAAATAATAAAATTAACCACAAATTAGATGGATAAAAGGTTTTAACTTTTCTGTATCGGCTATATTATTGTATATTATATTTTTTGCACAACCAATCCCGTGGAACCAACAATCATATTGATACTAGGAAGTATCAGCTGCTACACACACGAGTCCGTATTATAAATTAAAATCTTCTATTTATTTATATCATAATCGCGACAAGACAAAATTAAAAATAAAATATCGAGTTGATAGATATTTGCTAACTATATGTGAGACGTTATCATTTAATGTACATTATATATTATTTAATCATTTATTATAAAAAAAATGGGACAACTTACATAAAAGCGATAAATTAAAAATGACGTGTGATGCTCAACTAAACGTGAATCAAAGATTTTTCAATCACTCGCCGTTAAAATAAAAAAACATGTATCCTAAATAGCAAACTGTCCACACCCCTTTAACTGTAAAGATGCACTTTCACATACCGACCCATGGATCCTCACAAGAGGGTTGATGGGACTGGTACAGCGTTAACAGGTATCATCATCTGTCCTGGGTTCGGGTCCCGTCTAGTAACAAACGTAGGACGGCCCGTCCTTCGGATTTTATAAGGGAATGGTGTAAACAGGCATATAACCTGTCAACTATAAGCTGTTGCGCCGCCAGAGATGTTATTACCACAATCAGACCTTAACAGGTATCCTTATCTACATTTTCGCACTATAATACAGGGAGGCCAAGCTCAACACAGACACTACCACGAGTAGCTGTCATTCGCTTACTCTCTCAACTGTTGTTTTATGGTGCTCCCACGATACCAATCTGGTTTACCTCTGTCTTACAATTTTGTTTTATTGTCAGCTGGTTTACAACAGTTCCTTGCATTTTTCTGATATGACTTGTAGATTTTCCATGGTTTTTAAACACACCAATATCAGCTGTAATACTAATATTGTATTGCAGATTCTGCACTTGGCTTTTAAGCTGGTAGTCTTGTCCTCCTGAATCCACCTTGCCAACTGTGGGTTAGATTCCCACTCCTTCCTGTAATGCTGAGCGCGATGTTTGTTTCCCTTTTCAATTCCACACAAGTTACACAACTTCCTCTTCTTCGGACTCAGGGGGTCGGTCTCACTGCGTTCACTCATCGTCCACGTCTGTGTCCATAAATAAATAAAGGTAACATAAGTTAAACTCAAACAGAGAGAGAGAGAGAGAGATACTGGTACATCCATCACTGCAACTTGCTTCTTATATACACGGTCATGACACCTCATCTCACCCTTAACCTCCAAGTTAGTCCCTGGCTCCAGCCTCCCTGGGTCTCGGCCCTTGTCACCCCTCACCTCTCCTAACCTCACCGCATTCCTACAGGACCCATTGTCGCGGGCTTTCTCTCCTCAAGGGTATGGAAATACAATCGAGTCCCTATCTGATCATAATTATGGTACGTGGTACACGGTGTATAGTACATGGTACACAGACACCTAATTATGGTACAAATACCATAATTATGGTACGCAACGCAACCCTATTTCACACGAACGTACCACTACTTGTTTATTATTTATAACATACACAAAACACACCATAATCACTCTCTCAAATTCTTTATGCGTCATTTGGTGTTTAAAGTTTATTACAATGTTCTTAACCAATATAATGTAAATAATACGATAGTTGCCAACACCTTCCTCGACATATACTCCCGTCTGGCCGACTAACACCGTCAACCTCAGTCATCACAACATGCAGGAGGAGGTAAAAGAGGATAGCAGGTAACACAGTTTAGGTATAGAGAAGTAAATGTTTATCTTGGCAGTACTATGAAGGAAAACATGCCTAAAATATCCGCCGCGTGTTAATCAGAATATCGCTCTAGGTAGACATCCTTGGCAACATCCCAGCCATTTATTTAAGCCATTGAGTTCGATTGAAAGGATATTTTCTCCATTTAATGAGATGAATAAATTTTATTCTTATTACTTTCACGGCATTGTGACAAAATGGTACTTTCGGTGGGACAGATCGTAAACGGGTAGATGAGAGTATGCCTTTCCTACAAACGTTTCCTTAACACTACTTAAAGGAAAAAGTTAATGACAGATAAGGGCGTCTAAACCTTCTTTTGACACATTAATTCACTTCAAGGTTGACTGACCGACTGAACTAACCAAACTGAGCCTAATCTAACCTAACTAACCCTAATCTAACCCAGGTCATCCTAATCTGACTTAAAGTTACCCTAACTTGATGTAACCTCATTAAACCTATGCTAATTTAACTTACCTTATGGCTAAGAGAGGTTAGGTTTGTGAGTTAGGTTAGGTTGTGGTAATGATCTCTTTTATGACAACTTACTTCCCTCCACTTGAGAATTTCTGATTAAGAACCAAATTGTTGCTCCCCAAACGCTAATAAACTTATGTAAACAAACACGACGACTGGGGTGACGAGAACATTATGGGGAGAGGAAGGGGTGAGGGAGAGGGTGACTGGGGAGAGGAGGGGTGAGAGAGGAGAGGAAGGGGTGAGGGAGAGGGTGACTGGGGAGAGGAGGGGTGAGAGAGGAGAGGAAGGGGTGAGGGAGAGGGTGACTGGGGAGAGGAAGGGGCGAGATAGGAGAGGGTGACTGAGGAGAGGGTGACTGGGGAGAGGAAGGGGTGAGAGAGAGGGTGGTTGGTGAAATGAGGGGGTGGTTGAACGGGGAGAGAAGAAAGAGAACTGACATTGGGGGAGGCTATAGGTGTTGTTGAACGAAGGGGGAGAAGAGGAGAGATGAGAGGAGATGGAAGGAGAAATAGAGTGGGGTGAGAGGTATTTGAGGGTAGGGGGGAGAAGGAGAGGTAGTGGGAGGGAGGATAAAGAGGATTACATGGAGAGACGGAGGGGGAGGATGACAGCTCTGGAGACTGTCCAATTTAACTGTCCGTCTGCCCCTTTCCTTCTCCTTCTTCCTCCTCTCCTATTTTCATTTTCTCTTTCTTTTCCTCTCCTTTCTTCCTCCCTCTTCTTCATTTTCCCTCCTTCCCTCTTCCTGCTGCTCATCTTCTCTCCTCCTTCCTTCCCTTATCCCTCCCTCCATTCTTCCTCTCCCTCTCGGTGCCTTTCTCTCTATCATCCCCCCTCCTCCTCCCCTTCCTCCTTATCCCTCTTACCTTCCTCTCCACCCCTGATCTCTCCCCCTCTCTTCGTCCTCTCCTGTTTCCTCCCTCTCTCCCCCTCCCCTCTCCCTTCGTCCTCTCCCACACCTCCAATATAAACAAGTTACCCGCCAGAGGTCCAGCAGCAAGACGTGTATCAGTGATCGCCGCCGCTTCAGAAGCTCCGGAAATAGGAACTCGTAGCCCTGGTCACGTCACAGAGACTCATGCGATTAATAAGATCACCTTAAGATTAACCCCAAGCTTATTTAACTTTAAGCTTAACCACTCTAACCCTAATCTAACCTAAAGATTAACCCCAGCTTATTTCACCTTAAGCTTAACCACTCTAACCCTAACCTAACCTAAAGATTAACCCCAGCTTATTTCACCTTAAGCTTAACCACTCTAACCCTAACCTAACCTAAAGATTAACTCCAGCTTATTTCAGATTAACCAACTTAACGCCAACAAGACGTGACGTGATGAGGCATTTAGTTATGGTTGAGTTTCAGTATAACTTGGATACCTTATTTTGGCCACCATCTTTAAGCCATGAAATGATTGAAGTAGTTAGATGAGAAGGAAAATGAACATGAGAAGCTTTTGTAAATTCGAACCACTGATAATAATTGATTTGAACCTTTGAGACTACGAACCACTAATGATTAATTCGAACTTTGAGACTATGAACCACTAAGGAACCGAACTTTTGAGACTACGAACCACTAAGGATTAATTCGAACCTTTGAGACTACGAACCACTAAGGATTAATTCGAACCTTTGAGACTACGAACCACTAAGGATTAATTCGAACCTTTGAA